GTCCCTGGGAAAAATGAGAAACCAACCAATGTGAAGCCACGAATGGAAGACATAGCCTCTTTTTCTCCCGAACAAAAGAGTACTTACCTTCTCAAGTAAGTTCGTCTGGAATGCTTTGTTCAGCTACATGTAATATTATAAATTAATCTGAGTCAAGTAACATTTTTTTTCTTGGTTAATTGCAGACGCAAAAGGGTTGGAGTGTTAGCAGCAACAAAATGGAAAGGTATCCCAAAGTTCAATAGCCCAACTATGAAGGCAGAGTTGGTAAGTTTTGCTGCAGAAGTTGCACCACAGTGTGCAATGCCTGAAGTTGGATTCAATGAAGAAGGTATCATGAAGCATGTGCAAGCATACTTTAATGAACAAAGAAGATACAGGAGCCACAAGTCAGATTCTAAGGTAACATTCCTGGTAAACAAATTTTGTTTTCTCACTATTCCTAGAATGCATTCCATGCGTCTGCAGTACTGCCATGCTCTGGGCTCTTTGCTGTGCACTTGGGAAGTGTCATTTTGCAGCTACAAGTAAATAAACCTTTAAGGGTGGGTAATTTTAACTGAGAGTAATTTTTACAACAATATACACTATTATTTCAGAAAAAAAGAACTGTTGTCAATCTAATCCTCACGGTTAAAATGCTTCCTTTTCTCTTGTCTGCAGTGGTTTTTGGGAAGGGGGTTAAATTAATCTGGAGAAATGATAAAGTTTAAATTTTATTTTCAATTAATACATCCCTTATTTTCAATATAGGGAAAATGTCGTTTGACAGAAGACTCCAACCTTCCTGAACTTCCAACTGCCAAGGTAACTAACAAAGTGTTTGTATAAAACAAATAGAGAATAATTATACATGGATATACAGTAATTGGTAAAATGTGATTTTTCAGAAGTGTTCAGCTGTATGCAAAGACAGTTTCATACCTCTAATTAAGCAGCCTGAATGCAGGCTTTTGTTTCATTGTCTGTGTACATTTTCCTTCTGTCAGGTAAAGTAAAATTGATTGATAGTATTTTTTGCTTTGTTTTGTTTTGTTGTTTTGTTTTTCAATTCTAGTCAGACAGTGCTGGTCATGACAGTGATATGACCTCTAAGTCCAAACGATTTAAAGCTAGCCAAAAGGTGTGTTGTCAGCGATCATTTACATTGTACTTTTAGCAAATGTGTTCTAAGAATTTTCAGGATCAATGAAATTGCATGGCCATACTCTTGCCAAGACCAGTGATCCTTGGCAACTTACTTTTGCCATGTGGTGACCAGCAAATCTTAGTTTTTGGACCAAACTTATGTGGGGTATTTTCTTATTAGTGCGCAGCTGATGTATAAACTTTATTTTGTGTGACTTTCTTAATCTAGGCAGATGATTGTTTTTTGTTTCGTTCATGGTGTGGCTAATGTTCTTACATTTCCCACATGGTAGTGATACAAACAATGACCTTGAAGAAACACAGTCTCTAGCAGAGAGTGATGAGGATGGAACTGCTTTATTGGATACTAGTACTGAGAACTCTGAACTTGATGAAACCATCTCAGAAGATAAGAGTCCTGACAATGCCAAACCCAGTGTTCCCCAGTTAAAGCATGCTTCAGCTTCTGGTGTACAGTCTTTAACACTTAAGTCTTCCCAAATGATTATCAAGGCCGTGTTAGGTGAAAACCTTAATCGTGAAAACATAATGAAAGTCTTAAAGAATAAATTTTCTGTGAAACCTCATTCCCTAACATCTTTGACAGTTACACAACTAATGGAAGTAATTGCCAAAAAACTATTAAACCATAAATATTGTCACATCAGCCTTGGGGTCAATCCAAGTAACATGAAAATGGATGATATTATTGTTTATAAAAAAATTTCGCTTTGATTAAGAACGGCAGTATCATGTAGCCCAGCTGTAGTGTTCAGTTTACACTTTGCAATACCAGTAAGTATAACTAAATGGTTTAATAAAATGTTGCTGTTAACAATGATATTGTTGTACCTTAATTTTGTGATTTTATTATTAACCAATATTATATTGCAAGATACATGTGCTTGAATTTATTGATCACAACTCATACAATCATAAAGCAGTGATATATCGGTTAGAAATTTACAATTTTTCACTTCTGGGATAGAAGTGGACCAAGTTACTTTGGGAGTGAACTGATTCAGTAAAAACCCATATTTCAGTTGTGCCAGGTTTAACTTAAAAGATGCGGTTTACGTGGCCCATATTAATCCCATTGATGGGATTTTTCAACCCAGATTTACCCCAAAAATGTGATTTCATTGTTCCAGTTAAATACCAATGTTGGAATAAAAGTGGCCCTATTATAAGCCAATATTTGGGATATAAGTGCTCTATTATAACCCAATATTTGAGATAAAAGTGTCCCTATTATAACCCAATATTTGGGATAAAAGTGGCATTATTATAACCCAATATTTGGGATAAAAGTGACCCTATTTTAACCCAATGTTTTTGATAAAAGTGGCCCAGTATTATCCCACTATTGGGATTTGACTGGAACAATAAAATCACGTTATTGGAATTTATGTGGGTTGACAAAATCTCATTGATGGGATAAATGTGGGTCAGGTAAAGCCCGTTCTTTGGGTTAAAGCTGGCACAATATACATGTAATCCCAATACGGGGCTTTTATTGGGTTTAATTCAACTCAATCTTGGTTCTGGTAGCTTTTTCCCAAACTGGGAAATAACAATAAAATAACAATAAAACCCCACAAGTTTCCCCCTTTTTTCCCAGTTTGGGAACTGCAAAAAGTTTCCTGTGACTCAGTCCTATTACCATTATTAATCATAACAATTACAATTTCCTCAAACGTGATTGGTGCACAAACTCCTCTATTTTGCTCTAATTAATCCGAAAAGTTGTAATCGGACAGTGTAATCAAACAGTTGGCTGTAGTCGGACACCTGTAATCGGACAGTTGCATGAGCCAATCACTTTGTCCTCCCCAATAAATCCAGCAGTCACAACATTGATTTCAGTCACTATAGTAACCAATTGAAAAGACTGACTTTGTAAAATTGTGGAGGTGACTGCTCCGGTGACTGTTTTTGAAAGAAACTTAACAGGCATTTTTGCGGTCGTCCGATTTTGTTAACCACTCGTACGATTACAGACCGAATTGGATTCCACTCAGTCCTATTATCATTATTAATCAGCGCCTGTATGACCAGCTGCTACATGGCTATCGCGTCAAAACACTGAAAACATCATGTGAAACTAAAATAACAGACATGGTGCTTTTTTCAAATAAATTTGGATGTTCTTCGCCATGTAGTGAAGATTTTCCGAGGGTAAAGTTTTATTCTGGCAAAAATGTCCTAGGAAGGCCGAAGGTTTTAAAACTAATATAACTAAAAAGTAAAGAAAAAAAATTGTTGAAAAATATAACTTACATTACATTACATGCAAAAAATGACCTACTACTTACAATGTTAACGTAACTTAAAATTTAACGATACTAACAGAAAAATACTAACAAAACTTGCAATACTCACGATAACGTTATGAGTATTGCGACGAAGTCCAAGCAAGTCATAATTGCAAAGTATTATTTGGTCCTAACAGTCGTTTTAAAATGAGGGTCGTTCGTAAACAGGAAAATAATGATTGCTCTTTTTCTCCATGAAAAGCTAACCGGTGTCCAGATTTACCAACGCCCTTAAATGGAGCCAAAACATGCGAGCAGTCGTCCTGCATCCTGCACTGCCATGCTCGATATGACTTTGCTACCAATCAACCACAGTCATATATCTGCAGTCCTATCAAAGGGGCATGGATGCCTTCAAGCAAAGTGCCAGATTGCTCTGGTAAGAATAAATAATGACAATTTATTATTTAATAATACGTAATTTATAACTCCCAGGGACCCATGTGCTACTCAGTCGCGCATAGAACATACATAAAATTTGCTTATTTTGCAAGTGACGCAGTGGGAAATTTGTGCAATATCGACAGATGAGAGTGGTTTTTTACTACAATCAAGCAGCAAGTTTGCTTATGGTCAGCTGGCGAATCGCTCAAATAGAAATTACTTGATGTGTTCGTAAAAGGAAATCGTTTTAGTAAGACTGAGCTTTGGGGCTATAAAAGTGATATAAATAACATGGGGAATTCAACCACATCGAGACTGGAAAAGAACTGGAATGAAAGGATGCAAGGGTTGGAGAATTGGGGAAAAAAAATTACATATGAAGATGAATTTTCGCTAAACACCGTTGACGTTCGCATGTCAAGTACGACTAGTGAGTTGCATCAGTAAAATTAAAATTTTATCTCGTTAGTTACTTCACACAAAAATTGGGAAATAATGCTAACTTGAAACATCTCACTACCAATAAAAAATATAAGTCACCCTGCAGATTTTTTTTTTTTTAAACGACGTTCATTTTGACGCTGATTACTAGACGTAATACTGGTCAACGTTTTTCCGCTTAATACTTTTTAGTATTCTCTAAGTGTTCGAGTTTTTCAAAGTGCAGCCAAAGTTTTCCTCTAATGAGAAGAAAAGCGATCGCACAAGATCGAGCAAAACCCTCTGTGAACAAAGATAAATTTCAACTATTATTTTCAGTTTTCAATGAATGTTAGTTTTGCTGGCCGAGGTAAATTCATTTCTGACTTTTCTTTATAGGAGCACACCAAGCAAAAGTCTTACTTGCCACGGAGCTTCATTATCTAGCTGACAAGTGTACAGAAGGAATGAACTCTCGAATCGCCAGCAATTTCATTCCGCTTTGTACTCAATACTTGGGTAAACGTGGAAGCTTTTATGGAAATGAAGACTGCACTATTGAAAATGTCAAAGTGGAATGTGGAGAACAGGGCATTAGGCTTATTAGAGGACGCATAGCCTATAGCGAACATTCTTCTAAAGTTCCTCTTACTGTGACATTTGATGTGAAAGTCCCACTTCCAAGCAATGCTTCCCTTGTTGACCTGAACCAGACAACTCA